GAACAACCAGTCACTATGGTGTGACACCAGGGTCTGCCTCCGAGAGGGAGGTGACCAACAACAGAGATTGGAGAGCACCTGCCCTGCCCCCCACTTCAGGTCCCCCCCCCACCACCACGAATTTAGTTCACTGGGCCTCTAGTAGAAAATAAAGTCATTAGACTTTACCTCATCATTCCATTTGAACAAAAAAGCAGGGAGAAGACCAGCACCCACATTCAAGGGCCCCTGAGGGGTTACCTCAGGTCTCAGGTAACAGACTTTGCGTATGAAGGGGGAGCCCAGCACACACTCCTGAGAGGCCCCTCAGGAAGATTCTTGTTTGTGCAATGCCATTAAAAGCAGGGCTGCTTCAGAAACAAAAAGCCACGTTATGATTCCCTTTATATGAAACTAGAGGCCTGGTGCATGAAATTCATGCACTTGGGGAAGTCCGTCAGCCTGGCCCGAGCCCTTTCACAGTCCAGGAGCCCTTGGGGGTGTTGGACTGACACGGGCCTAAGCCATCTGTCAGACGTCCTTAGTGCTGCTGTAGAGGCGGGAGAGGCTCCTGCCACTGCCGCTGGACTCACCAGCTGTGAGTCGGGCTTCTGGCTGAGCATCGCACCCCCTGTGGGAGCATCTGCCCCCTGGTGGTCAGTGTGTATCATAGTTACCAGTCATTCTGCGATTTGGTCAATTTGCTTATTAGCCTCTTATTATATAGGATGTCCAGAATTAGACAAATCTAGAGACAGTAAAATGGTAGTTTCTGGGGACTAGGATGTAGGAGAAAAGGGGAGTGACTGCTGATGGGTGTAGGGTTTCCTTTTGGGGAAATGAAAATGTTTTGGAATCAGATAGTGGTGATGCTTTCAAAATTCTATGAATATACTAACAACTGAATTGTTCACTTTAAAAAGGCTTCATGTGAATTATAGCTCAGCTAAAGGAACAGGTAAATCTATCTTAATAATGGAGGTTCCTCTTCTGTAGTCTGCCTTCTCTTATCAGGAATAGTGGAAAATAAGGAGATTAAGGAAATTCTGTCAACAGCTAGAATTAAATTTCAAGCTGTCTATCCATGAAGCGCCTGGTGGCCAGAGTCTGGAAATGTAGAAGATTACCGGCTGAAGTTATGTCCACAGAGAGCGAGGGTCACCTGGAGGAACGTGTCGTCCTCCAGGAGCACTGGCCGGCCTTCAGCTGTGTGCCTGCTCCAACATGCCAAGCCCTGACCTGGTGCCAGGTGCACCTGAGCCCACCCACAGATTTCCCAAGGCAGTGAGTCATAAGAAAAGCAGGAAACCAAATGAGCTTTTCCAAAAGCCATTTCTGCACCCTACAGCTAGGCCCAGTGCTGACCATTAGGCACAACCTGTGGACACCTCTGGGATGGCCCAATAAGAGGAAACAGCAGGAGCAAACGCTGACAGGTGACAAAACAAGGACTAGACATAATTTGGCAAGATAGTCAATTCCTTTTAGAGATCACAGCAGTCATCTCACACCCTATTTAAAACCCACCAAGGCTGCCAGAAAACATGCAAACTCCCTACAACAACTTGCAATAAAACACACACTTCCTGTAACAGCCACTGGCTGGGCTGGTGGCACCTGCACCTCTCAGTCCTCCCTCACTGCTCTTTCCTCTGCGCTGCCCAGGCCTGGCTCTGCGCTTGACTGGCCCCTTCTCACTCCTCAGGTCTTAACTCAAATAGGATCTCAGACAAATACTGGAGTCCTTCCTGTTATTTTCTGCCGCGGCTCCTTGTTGATTTTCTTTGGGGAGCTTACCACACTCTCTCACTACTTTACTTTTTACTGTGGTTTATCTTGGTAGTCTGTTCGTTCACAAAGGGTGGAGAGCATATACACCTTAGTCCCTGGCCAATCTAACCTGCTGCCACAGTGCCTTGCTTGTGGCTGGCATTTGATTTTGGCTAAATAGATGAACTTGTATTTTTAAATATAAATCTGGCTAGGGAGCCCAGGGAAAATGACAACCGTTAAAGTGAAGGTGATCACAGACCACACTTGAACTAACACTGATTTAGATGCTATTAATACCACTATGTTCAAGGGCTTTCTTTCTGGCAATGATATAATCACATGGGCTAAGTAATGAACAGACTTGAGTAGACGAACAGAACATGGGTTGCCTGAATGCTTATTGACTAGGGGTGGGGTGGGGGGAGGCTGTATGTTTTATTCTGTGCACATAGTCCCAGGTCTCCTTGAAACTCCCTCACAAAGCAGAGACCAGGTAGACTTCTGGGTTATTCTCAGGGTCAGCAGGCCATTCCCTCCACTCCCGCCCCATTCACCCCATCTTCAATAGTATCAAGCACAGGTTACCGCTGTCACTTTTCAACAGGGATTCTCAACATTGTCTGCACACTAGGATTCTTAAAAATTATAAAGGATTGAGGATTTTTAAAAACCCCAAACTGAGGCCAGAATCTCTGCGGGTAGAAACCAGGCGCCAGTATTTTTTAAGGCTCCTCAGGTAATCCAATGGGCAGTCAGAGCTGAGAACCACTGTTTCAGGGAAAAGTCAAGTATCCAGAGGCCAACCTTGACTCAATTCCCATACAGTCGCAGAATCTTCTATTTATTTTTATGGTAAAAGAGTTGGATCTTCCAAAAGGAAACATTCTATGAATAAACACTAATTCAAAAATATTCATTATTTCCTGAACTTTTGCTTTAAACCATTAAATTCCCTTTATTGGACTTTTAATACCTTTCCAGTTCTTATTACGATATACGGCACATTGTCATTTTGCCTCAGAATATTCAAGTAGAAAACAAAATATATATACTTGGTGAATGATTGTAAAATATATAAAACCCACTTACCTGATCTACACAGAAATATAACTGTCTCTACCATTTCACAAATTCTTAGCAAAACACAAAAACTACTTTAAAAATGGCCCCAGTTAGAATTAATCCTCTCCAGGTCAGAGAAACAGCATATTCACATTCTGTCCGCGTCTTCAGTCACATCCACGTCTACACACCCCCAGATCAACCTATCTATCCCACCTACGGAAGACTTTCATCTTTCTAAAGCCCACAGCAATGATCTCATCAGACCAACACAGAGGTTATGTTTCACGTAAGATTATGAACCAAATGGCACTGATGTGGAGGGGAAGGGTTGGATTTTTTTTTCCCATTCTATTCAGTATTTATGAAAATCCAGATGCTTTGCTAACTCGATATAATTCAAACAGTGAGGCAGTACTATGTTGCCACACCCAATTTGTTCTAAATGTGATAAAATCTAGAGCACAAACCTGAAAAATGCTTTAAAAGCTTTCTTTTTAAAAGAGCTCCTGCAAGTAGACTATACAAATGGAAGAAAAGTAAAGGAGTGTAGTATACAACTGCATGATTTTGACTGTTACCGCAGACACAGTGATATGCAAGCCATTCTGAATCAGGGCTGTCTACAAACTTGCTACATACACCATATGCCAGCAGATACAGTTAATGGAAAATTCTATTCTTGTACTCTTTCATTGATCTGGAAGCCAAACTAGTTTTTCTGCTTTGCCTTCAGAATCTTTTGGTATCCCATAAAACCTGGAGGTATTATAGTGGGTAGTGCTGGAGGGGTGAAGCTCTTCTCCACCTGAAGACTGACGATCTCCAAATGCATAAGCAAGCAGTATCCCATATGTAGCTAGACTCTCTGGAGTGCCACGACATATACCGGATTAACATAGTAACTATTAGTTAGGTAATTTCAATGTAATATACCGGATTAACAAAGTAACTATCAGTTAGGTAATTTCAATGTAATTGTTCAAGTCAAAACTTCTGAGACATATTTCCTCCCTTCCAATGATAGACACAGGTGTAATAATGTGTTATCTGTGCCTTAGCCTCCTAGCTTCCTTTATTTTTGTCCCTGTGGTTGAGGAAAATTGTAAAAACCAATTCAATGAAAGTAAAACCCACCAGCTTTCATGGGAAGAGCTGCAGAGTAAAACAAAATTCATTTTGGTAAAGGACTATTACTTGTCAAATGCACAGAAAAATGAAATTGTACAATATTTCAAAATAAACACTGTAAAGTAAAAACAACCTCAACAAATAATAAATTCAGCCCTTCATCTGATAAGATTCATCTGTAATTTAGTTTTAACTGCATAAATTATTTATATAACCAATGAGCTATATTCGAGATACATTTCATAAGGTTTTTGTTTTTATATTAGAGTGTTTCCCAGTTGCTCAAAATAAGTGGCAAGCCTTTTTTATTTTATTATTATTTTTTTTAATTAAATATATTGGGGTAACATTGTTTCGTATCATTATATAAGTTCCAGGTGTACAGTTATAGGATATATTATCTGCATACTACAGTGTGTGCTCGCCACCCAAAGTCTAGTCTCCTTCTCTCACCATATATTTGACCTCCCTTTATCTTCTTCATCCTCCTCCTCTCCCATCCCGTGTGGTAACCACCACACTGTAGTCCATGACTATGAGTTTGTTTGTGCTTTCTATTTTATATCCCACATTAGGAATAAAATCATATGGTTCTTCTGGCAAGCCTTTTTAAAATCAAGACAAAATGCTCCCAGTATCTGAACTCACATTAACTCAGAATTAAGCAAGTCCTAATGGATGGGGCTTTATTGTCTATGTACATGAATATAAGGTGAAACACACATTAAAATGACTCTTAGGGAGAAGGAATCAGCTCTCCCACCAGGAAAGGCAAGAGGACTCTGTTGTAACACTTTCCATGTGTGCACCCATCACCAGGTACACATCCCGCCTGTATAATCTGATGAGATAAACGTTTCGGCTAGTCATCAAGAGATCAAGCATCCAGTTAAGGCTCTGAAATGTGTAACCCTAAGCAGTCAGTGGCTGCCCTATGGTGCTCTGACTGCTCTCTCAGGGAAACTGGGGATCCAGTAACTAGGGCAGCCCTGGATGGGGGAAGGGGAGGAAGGATGGTTGCAGGGGGGAAAAGAGGTGGGGGGGGGCGCACTTACGAGACGTAGGCTGGGTAGCCAAATCCTATCAGGTTGCAGAGGAGAGAGGCTCCATAACCGAACATCAGATACAAGGCCAACAGCCCGATGACACCTGCAGACGCGAGGAGAGGAGCGGGTTGAGCGGCAGAGCGGTACTCAGGCCCCACAGCGTCCCCCTCCGCCCTCTTCCCCCCCCCCCCCCACAACGAAACGCTAGTCTGGGCTGCGTTGGACAAAAACAAACCAGGCGGAGACTGGGCCTGCGCCTCCGCGGGGCTCTGCCTTGGGTCTGGGGCTAACGGGAAACTCCCCCCCACCACCACCACCTCAACCTTCGGGCCCTACCTCCCGCCCTCCATCCTGCGCCCCCCCCGCCCCCATCCCCCATCGCTGGCGGTCGCACCCCAGCCGGGCAGCCTCACCCCACAGAGGGTCCCGCCTTCGGGATGCGGAGCTCCTGGGAGGGTCTGGCCCCCGTCGCCCCGTGCCCGCTGCCGGGGGAGGGTGGGAGGGAGGGAAGTAGGGGGCCCCCACCCGCCACTCGGCGCCACAGCGAAGCGCCGCCCGGGACAGACACGTCAGCGCGGCCCTTCCCTGCGGCCCGCGCCCCGGGCGCCCCGCCACCTGGCCGGGGGCACAGGCCTGCGCCTCCCCCCCACCCCGGAGCGGGGCCGCCCCGGGAGGAGGGATCTCGGACCCCTGGCCTTTCGGGCGGCCCCCGAGGAGGCGGTTCGCCCCCCATCGGTCACCGACATCGCCTCCCCGAACCCCCCCCTCCCCGGCCGCTTCCCCGGCAGCTGGTGCAGCAGCTGCTCCCGGCCCGACGACACCCCGCACCCACCGAGCGCGATGTAGCTCCGGCTCACGCCGGTCTTGGCCTCGAGCTTGGCCAGCAGGTCGGTCATGCAGTTCTTCTCGTGCAGGAACCGGTCGAACCTCTGTCTCATGGCCGCGGACATGGCGGGGACGGTGGTGCGGCCGCCGGGCTGCTCCTGGTGCAGTTACTGCGACGCGGGCGGCGGCGGCGGCGGCGGGCCGGGCGGAGGGCGTGGTGGGCGGGGCCCCGGGGCGGGCGCGTCAGCGCGGCCCCGCCCCCTGCGCCCAGGCCCCGCCCACCACGCCCGCCGCCCGCCCCCGCTGGCTCCGCGGCACGCGCCACGCCCTGGGCGGCGGCGGCCGCCGGCCCTGCCAGGGGCCCTCCCCGCGGACAGCCGGAGGCCTCGGAGGGTGAACAGAGCCATGTCTCCCGTGAGCTCCTCCGCGAACGGCCCGGCGGGGACGGAGGGCGCAGAGAGGCGGGCGCCCTCACGCTCCCACCTGCAGGGCCGAGGGACTGTGTGGTGGACCTGCTCCCTGCAGAGACCCCTTACATCTGAAAGAGCCCTGAAGGCCCACCCGCCTTTCTCTTCGTGGCCGTAGCTTTTCTCAGTGTATTTGAAAAGACCCTACGAGAACTGTAACATACCCTCCTCTGGGGACCCTGTTCCCCAGAAGGTACTGCACTCCTTAAACCTTCTCACGGTGAACCGGCATTTGCTTTGACGTCTGAAGTCGTGGGGAAACCTCCAGCCCCCTCGGCGGAGACACTAGACGGGCGCTTGTCTACGAACAAAAACGTGCGAGAAGGAGGTAACTGCAGTCCTTCGGGCAGGGCCTTACTCTGCTTCCTTGAGAATGAATGTCTTGCTCCAGCGCTCCACCTAGCCCAGGCTCTGGTTATCTGTAGCCCATGTTATTTCAGGAGACTCCCTTTGGAAAAGATTCTTTCCGACTCCTAGGATCTGCACCCTGCTGCTGGGTGTTCCTTTGCTGCCTTTCCTCATTACAGACCAGGGCGCTGGTGCCTCCGCTGAGCATCCTCCAGCTCCGCACACAAACTGGTGCCCAGCCCTCTCTGTTCGGCACCGCCCCGCGGCCCTTCCTAATGGACTGCGTCACCCACTCTACTGCCTTCCACTTCTGCTAAACAGCTTGCCCACGCCTCACTTGTTCTTTTGCTAACTCTCCTTCCTCTTTTCTTCCCCAGAGCTTCTTAGCTCAGGTCTCTCAGCACTCCCGACACCAGCCAGCCGAATGAGTGGACAAATTAAACCAATTTTTTTTTGTTTTTTTACAAAATGTAATAGGATTATTGTGACAGCCTCCCTACTGAGCTGTCCCTTTCTGTCTTTTCACACAAGCAGTCCTCAATGTGGCAGCCAACAGGATCTTTTAAAAACGTGGGTCGAGTTGTGTTATCATTTGGGTCTAAAACCCTCCAGTGGCTTCCATCTGCCTAAAGAGTGGCCTCAAGGTCATGGGTGATGTGGTTCATTCCATGTCCTACTGCCTACCTCCCTGCTGTGCCTCAAACAAGCTGAGCTGCTCCCCCTGAGTCTCCTTCCCTTTCACTTTATTTCTAGCTCAGTGCTTCTCAACCAAGCTTGCACTCCACAAGACATGTGGCAATGTCTGGAGACATCTTTGCATGTCAGATAGATGGTCACGACTGGGGTAGTAGATGGTACCCACTACTAGCATCCAGTGGGTAGTGGACAGGGACGCTAAACAACACACAGAACAGTCCTCCCCTCTCCTTGCATCCCCCTCCAAAGAATTATTCATCCCCAAATGTCATAGTACTGAGGTGGGGAAACTCTTATCTGAAAAGCTCCAGATAACCACTTAACTGTCTCCTCCCATTCTTCAGGTCTTTGTTCAAATGACACGTCTGTGAGGCCCTCTCTGATCCCAAATTACAAACACTCTTGGTTATTTTTTTCTTGGCTGACGTTTGATATGTCCTACTTTTTAAATTGTTTTTCTTTCCCCACTAGATTATGAGCTCCATGAAGGTAGGAATTGTTGCTTATTTTCTTTACTTCTAAATCTCAAACAACTAGAATAATGACCAGCATTTAATAGGTATTCATTTGTTTAATGAATGAGTATATAATATATATTGTACTACTCAGTATTTTAATTGTTACATTGTTCATTTAATCCTCACAACTACATGAAGCAGGTACTATCTGTTTTATCCTCATTTAAGGGGAAAAAATGAGGAAATGGGATCTCAGAATTAATAAATGTCAGAGCTAGATTTCAGACCTGGGTCTTTACCCCTCTATTATACTGCTGTTATGATTGAATCATGCCCCCCCCCCCCAAAAAAAAAAGAAAAGGTATGTCGGAGTCCTAACCTCAGTACTTCAGAATGGGACTATTTGGATATAGGGTTTTTAAGGTCCTTTGATAGGAAATCAAATCAAAATGAGGCAATTAGAGTGGGCTCTAATTCAGGGTGGGGGAAATTGACCCGCATAGAGGGAAGATGTTCTGCAGGCACACAGGTAGAAGCCAGACATCTACAAGCCAAGGAGAGAGGCCTGGAACGGAGTCTTCCCCCACAGCTCCTGATGAAACCCACTCTGCTGACACCTTCATCTTGGACGTCTGGCCTCCCCAACTGAATTTTGGTTATTAGAGCTACCTACTATGTGGTACTTTGGTACAGCAACCCTAGAAAATAATTACAAAAGCCTACCAGAGTAACTGAACTTTGAACTTTTTTAAATATCGCCTTCTGTACATGCCCCAACTGGGCATTGAACCCGCAACCCAGGTATGTGCCCTGATAGGGAATCGAATTTGAAATTTTTTGGTGTATGGAATGACATTCCAACAAACTGAGCCACACTGGCCAGGGCTCTTTTTTTTTTTTTCTTTTTTTTTTTCAATTACACTTTACATTCAATATTATTTTCAGATGTAAAGGAGCAGTATCCTTTTAAGGTAGGTCTTCAAATCAGCCTAAATTTTTATTTCATACAGTGTCAACATTTGTATTATATTAACTATGCATGAAGTATTTGGAAATACACTATTCATTTGGATATCTATTTACAAATATTCTTCTCTTCTCAGTTTTCTCCTGAGATCCTAATTTTTTTCTTTCCTCCATCGTTTCCCCTAACACTGGCAGCACAGTAAGGTACATGTATGGGGCACTGTGTTTGGAACCAGCCCGTATGGCTGAAATCCCAGCTGCACCGTGTAGCTCTGTGAGTTTAGGCGAGTTACTTAAGCTCTGTGAGCCTCTGTTCCTCTTCGGTAAAACGGGTAATCACAGGGTTGTCGTGATGATTGAATTAGCTTTTTTTTTTTTTTTTTTTTTTTTTTTTAAGTTTTTGGAAGAATGCCTGCTTTAAAAATGTGTTTGTTAAATAACAAGAAAAACACACACGGTGAGATGCTAAAATTGCATAATGCTTGCCTTTAGGAACTTGCAATCAGGGTAGGGAGTATAGGACTCTTTCTTCATGCAGTCATCACAGTACAAAACAGACTCATTCATAGTTGAGAAAAGATGTGCAGAAGATAAGAATTCTTGACTTACGTGTCAGACTACTCACTCATTCTTATTTATGGAGTATATCCCATGTGCCAGACACGGCTAGATCTGGGAACCAGAGGGACCAGGTCTCTGTCTCGAAGGCCATGAGGAAGTCTACCCTGAAGCAGGTTGACTTTGGCAATTCCTGAGAAGGAAGTCAAACCAATGTGGGGTGATGCAAATGCTATTACTATAGTACCTCTCATGGGCTAGAGGAGAGATTTCTGCCAGAGGCCCATGATCAGGTCTCGTTAGTTCTCCACAAGCTGTTTCTTCAGATTAACATAATTTCTCAACTACTTGAAGTCATTAACACACGTTTGTTCTAACTCTCACGTATGTTAGATAGAAGATCACTTCATTACCTTTCTCTCCCCACCACGCCTCCCCCCACATTTGGCGGGGACGCTGGTTATTATTGAACTTGGCAATGATGAGGAAGCCAACCTTCTCAATCCAGAGGCCCTCAGCCCCTGGGGACACAGCCCAGTTGACACTTGCCCCTCCCTCTGCTAGAGGAGGCTGATGGCAACACAGCATCCAAGTAAAAAAGAGAAAAAACATTGATTGAAGGAAAATGCAGAGGCTGAGTATAATTTCAGAAAGAGAATTGAAAGAAAGAAAACGTGAAAATCACCCTGCGTCATTGAATTACATTTTGTTTTATTTGGCTTTTTCTCAACTCAACTGAAAATATGGACAAAGCATTTTATTATATGTCTGTTTATCAAACAGGGAGTTGAATTTTAGAAAATTACTGTTATTTTATTTAGGAAATAAAATAACCTGGGGTTATCCTTTTGTTGAGCAAAGTATTTTATTCTGAAATTCAATATTATATGCCATTGTTAATGCACATAAATATAGAGATTTCCACCAGGTATAAACATGCCCTTCATTTCTTTAACGGCACCTGGACAGGAACAAATAGAGCATATGTCTTTTACAGGTTGTTTCTATATGTTCAAGACCAGTTAGTCCAGATTCGCCCCATAGCCTGCAGGATGACAAGCATTTTTGCTTATTTTCCATGTAAGAACAGAAAAGGACCAGGGTGAGACAATTTTGTGCACTTCCCTTTGTGACTAGGCATCAGAGGAATTTGATTAGCAACTTGAATAAAGGAACTGTATTTTGCTGCTGCAACAAATTACCACAAGCTTGGTGCTTAAAATAAGGCAAATGTATCTTACAGTTAAGAAACTCTATCCCACCCCTAACCAGCTTGGCTCAGTGGATAGAGTGTTGGTCTGCGAATTCAAGGGTCCCGAGTTCATTCTGGTCAAGGACATGTAGGGTGTGCATGAGGCAGCTGATTGACGTTTCTCTCTCATCGATGTTTCTAACTCTTTTTTCTCTCCCTTCCTCTCTGTAAAAAAACCAATAGAATGTATTAAAAAAAAAAAAAAAAAAAAAAAAAAAAAACAAGACACTCTATGCCAGATGTTTGCCACAAGTCTCACTGGGATAAAATCAAGGTGACTTCAGCAGGACTGAAGGCTCAGATGAATATACATATATATATTTTTTCTTGTTGCTATTCATTTTGGTTTGTTGGCAGAATTGAGGTCCTTGTGGTTGTGG